GGCCCGGCCCCACCTCACCCTTCCCCTCCCTCCTTGGCTCCGGGGAACCAAGTTCTGTCTTCCTTTTTTTGGGTTGTTTAGCCGTGTAGGCAGTTGTAGCCAATGCTGGAATAGCTATTTTACCTGGTGCACTGTTCGCCATTGCCGCTTGCTCTCCCCTTCTGCCAGCGGCACAGGAACGCACATATGCAGTAGAACAGCCAATAGGAAAGCAGTAGTCTGAACTGACCTTTGATTGGTTGATGAACATCGGCAAGATACTGATTCTTTAGAGGCTGAACACAGAGCCATGGTGAGGTACAGAAACCTACTTAATTTACATTATGCTTAGAGGGAATTATAAAATTTTTTACTCAATTATACCAAAACAATGTTGTCTACTGGAGCTTTAACTCTGAGGACAATTTTTTTTATTTGTTTTCCCTTTGGTTTACTTGTCTCTTTTTCAAAATGTTAAATATGGTATGCTCACACTGAGGAAACACATAATGATAATTTTACACTGCACCAGAAACAAAGGGTAGGTTCCCCTGAATCATATGATGTACAACACTTGATAGTGACTGAGCTCTGAATTGGCAAAAATATAAAACTATATACTTGGTCTATGGGAGCTTTAGGGTGTTAAATTACTTAAAATATTACTCTGTTTTATAGTCAAACAGTATTTATGGAAAACCCCACAAGAGACCAAGTTATTATTAGACTTCAGCCTATTGTCTGCAGGGAAAAGATAAGTATGATCACACTTGGAGTTTTCCCCTGATGCTTCCTCCAGCACACATCCAGTAGCTGAGAGAATCCACAAATATGAGTCCAACCCTGAATGATCTAACAAGCGTGTCTCCCCCGAGAGGTTCACAACCAAAGCTAGTTAATACTTCTACTGTGTGTCCTCCATCCAGCTCAAATCCACGTTCTGCAGCAGCAGGTTTGAATGTCCAAACCAGCTGCTCAGAGCTCCCAGAGCTGGACCCGAGTCCACAACAACACTGTGCTGCTCTGCTGGTGGAGAGGTGACACGTGATGAGCAATTGATTGAAAACACTGAAGAATTAATAAATATATGAATTACATGGAAGTCAGTCTGTAAATGTATTTCATTTTGTTAACTGAGTATTTTGTTTCTTAAAAGTTTTGTATGCATTTTTAATAAGTTATTATCCCAATGTTTCATGGACAGAATTGTATTTTCTTCTGCGTTTAAGAAACCCAAAGTGTTCTGCACACTGTTGATCATTTGTACTTAGGTTATTAACCAAAACACAGTCATTAACATCACTAAAAGTGTGCAGGATTCTTTTCTTATATATATGATAAATGGGGGAAAATAAATGGAAAGACCCCCTCCAGACATGTTTTAAGACATATTCAAATACCCAGCTTCTGATAATCTGTTTCCCCTCTTAAAGTTTGTTTAGCACATTTTTCTACTGGACACAAGAAGTCTACTGCAGCACGTTAATGTGCACTGAAGTCTCCTTCAACCTGATGCATCTCCTCTGTGAACCTGCCTCTGCTCACATTGAGTTTCCCTGTCTTGACCCTTGAAGAGTTCAGCTCACCATCTGCAGTTTAACACACACCTTTGTCTAGACCTCAGCCCATTAGTGAGCCGTCTCTACTGACTTCAGTGGGAACAATTAGCTTGTAAATACCTGCCAGTGACAGCTGCTCCAGCTGCTCCAGCTGCTCCTCTCAGAAAACACAGGAGGGCAATAGAAATCCCCTGAACGCAACATAAAGACTCCACACTTGTTCTTCACTTTTACTTGGTCTCACTGCTGCTGGTTTTCATTCCTCCTGTTCACACCGAGCTGCAGCAGCCAAAATAAACTCTTCCTGAGCAACATGCTCAAACACAAACTTGGCACTCGATACACAAACTTGGCTCTGGTTAATGCTGTGACAAGACTGTAAGTAAATGATACCAGGAGGCACTCATGTATGAGGTGGAACAAGTTGTACGCTCACTAATTATTAATACAGTTTTAATTAGTAAAAGTTTTTTGGCAGTTAAACAATAAAATGAATTTCATACTTTAATAAGAAACCTCTAACACAGGGAAACTCAGCTTGCTTTGCCTGGGGGTCACTTTTGCAAAATGACAGGTGCAGATAATAAACACAAAGCAAAAATATTTATCGGATAAAATGAATAAACACAACAAATCTAATCGCAGGAGACCCATGCAGGTCAGGAGTACACCAACCCAGTCCTCAAGAAAAATGTTAGTATTGTACATTCCTGCAAATCAGGCATACGTTGCAGTTGTGCATTAGTAATAATGTTGTAGATATATTGAAACTGTACATGTAACACTGTGGGTAACGTGTGGATGTGTTTAAGCACCAAAACCACTTGGTTATATTTTGGCTATAAATAACTGCTTTATGTGCCACTATCCTGGCAGGAAATGCAGCAGCGTTTGTTTGTCACGTTTGTTGTCTAAAAAGCTGCTGGAAATGCAGTGATGACTCACTAAAAAAAGGTGTAGTTTTTTGTTGGTCTCCAATAATGGTATGCAGCTTGGAATGTGTCTCACCCAGGTGATATGCCATCCGCCATACCCTCCCAACATATTCCCACTCCAACTTCGTCATATATTGGCGTGTGGTCATGGGCTTTCCTCACCCAGATACGTAAAAGGTTAAACAAACTCTATTCTCTACTGTAAACAAGATCTATTTTGATGCTTTGTATGCACTTTGGCACCTTATTTACATTCATAGTACAAAAAACAAACAAATAAACTAACCTCTATTTTCCTTTCATCACATTATAACTTATAAAAACCAAAAATATGTCAATTGTTTGGGAAATGCAATTCCTCTAGTGATAAAATATTTCACTGACTGCATCATGGAATCTCTGGTTGAAAATTTCACTTTTTAAATCAATGTGATCTCGCAGAAATCAATAAAATGACCACAACCTTTTTTACACCAGATTGCGTGGTGGTGGCACATAATGTGTTAAACTGCGTGGTGGCGGCGGCGCCATGGTTGTGTTTAGGCACCAAAACTACCTGGTTAAGTTTAGAAAAAGATTGTGCTTTCATAAAAAAATTCCCCACAGTTGTCACGTATGGGACGTAAGTATGTTGTAGAGTGATACTGGTACATAAGGGACATATTAAAGGTGCTGTATGTAAGAATGTGGCCAAAACGGTTACTGCACTCAAATTCAAAATACTGCTGCGAGTCGTGTCAGCCCCCCCTCCCCTACAGATTCGAGGTTGCTGGACAGCGGCATGCTGGAGACTGACTTGTTTGCCCACGGACGGCTGCCGTGGCAGGGCCGTGTCGCCGCGTCCTTGATCTTTGGTTTTCCAGCGGACCATTCGAGCAAGTCTGGCTTCTCTGCTGCTAACGCTGCTGCCAGGATATAGCTGAGGAGGAGCCGGCTGCTAATGCTATGTACCGGGACACTGCTAATGCTGCTTGCCGGGCTGTTGTAGCTCAGTCGTAACTGTAACTGATGCTGAGACTCTACTGACTGCGTGACTGGTAGACGGCGGTGGGTGGCGCAACAGGCCAAAACACAAATTCAAAACATAAACATGATTTACTAAAACATATTTTGAATGCTCATTTACACCTATTTTTAGTGTCAATGGGATCATTTTGAATGAATACGCAGTGTTACCTTAAGGCTCAAATATGTTTTGCGGGGCCAGGCAGATTTGTTTGAATTAATTTTGTTAAAAAATGGCTCTTTTGGTAGTAAAGGTTGCTGACCCCCACCCTATGGGGTCATAACAGTAACCACTGAGAGTGATGAACCAACAGAGGATCCTAATTTGCTTTCCATTAGTGTTGTTTTTGTAGTTTAACACATGATGTGGTGTTAAGATATTGTGGTCATTACAGGAATTTCTGTGAGACCAGGTTGTTTACTTGATTGCATGATAATAAAGATTTTTTGCTCCTGATAAGTTCTCCACCGATTTATGATTGTACCTTTTTAACATTATCAAAGTCATGATGGACTGTTACAATTTAAAAAAAAGAAGATCAAAATCAACACAGCAGAACCAGACATATTGTCTCTCTTATTCCACATGCTTCCTTCTCAAAACCTGGTACCTACATTACCCACAATGCAACTCAACTTGATTCACTCAAGTTTTCACCTTTAGATGTGTTATGCTAGAAGCAGCTAATGTATCCGAGACTCGTAGTCTTCAGCTGAGGCTGACTCAAGTGACATCACTTGAGGACATTTATCAGGCTTCACATAGCTCCATCTAGAGACAGTAACGGCTTTAAAACACACACATAAGAGCTTTCCAACACCTGCAAATACAAACTAAATTGGAATCCTCTTTAAAGAATAATAATAATCTTTAATTAAGCAATTTTTTTTTTTACCGTGGAAATAGTAGTTTACCTCCCCCTGAAAACCTTAACACAAGGTCCACATACTAACTTTTTCTGCAGCTTTTAACTCACTAAGAACAAGCTTATTTTTCTAAGGGAGACAGTGAAGATTTTTGGTCAAAATATCTTTCACGTTACGACACTTTGATTTGCTATTACTGACGTAATGATTGACAGGCATCACATGCCTTCGTTAACGAGCATCGGTGACACACTCACTTAAGTCTGAACAGCCAGAAGGAGACTTTCACAGGTCGAGGTCACATGGACAACATACAACACTATGAAATCATTTGGAAAAGAGAAAGAAGCTCCGTCACTTAAAAAGTTTCTGGTTCTCACATATGCCACTATGCTTAACACTGCAGCATGTTTCAATATGTGCATGCATGCAGAAGCTTTAATATTAAGTCAATGCTGTTGAAACCACCTGTCACCTTTATGTTAGTGAAGTGCATTAAAAACATCCTCATTGTAACTTTTCATTTAGCCTGTAACCCCTACAAAAATCCAGAGAAAACAAGTTATAATATGCCAATGGAGAGATTTCACCTGTTTCCAATACATATTCTCTTGTTTCTCAATATTCCTGTAATAATCTGTCTTGTTTCTGTTTTGATTGATATTGATCAGGCTGAAACAAACTCATCCCACATGCAGATTATACAAGATACAAGAAAAATAAACATTATTGAATTGCACAGGAACGTTTATGACTCATCATACTAAATGAAAAATCACTAACAGTCACAAAAGTCATGCAAAAGTTTCTTTCATCAGCAGTGCAGATAGAATAAACACATTTAAAACATTTTCGTTAAATTATCCAGAATATTGAATATATTGTTGCATTTATCATTAGATCATCATTTCCTAAAGCCCCAGGTTGCTTGTTTTGTCCAATTTAATCAGAATATAAATCCAAAGATATCTGGTTAAGCATCACATAAAAAACTCACAACTGAGAAGCTTTAACAAGGAAATGTTTGCCAGCGATTAATCGATAATAAAAATATGCCAGTTAATTTTTTTTTGCCAAATCATGTCAGCTCTAATTGTTTAATTTGCAAACAGAATTTCTTTTCATAAATAATGATGCAATAGCCATTCTTATCAATGAACTTATTTCAAAATCTCTGAATCAAACACTTTGAGAAGCAGCATCTTACCTGCTGTGAGCTGATGACTTTCTCTCTCAGTGAAGCTTCATTGACTGACCGGCAGGACCAGGAGGACAAGGGAATGGACAGACAGAGAGAGAAGGAAAAAAAAGAAAGAGAGGGGAGGAGAGCTGTAAAATTTTCTCATACTTGAGGAATTTTTCCTCCCTCTCCTTCTCCTCTCTCTCTTCCTCCTCCTCTCTTTCTCTCTGATGTAATTCTATGTGCTTTACAGGTCCCTGTTGGGCGGAGGATTCACGATGGAAAACATCTGAACTTTTAGATGTTTTTAAGGGAACGTGGGGACCTAAAAATCTTTAATATGTTTTGAAGCGGTCTCTGTCCTCTGCTGGACACTCCATGACGTTAGAGACTCTGCTTCGACTGACTTTTGTTTGTTGCATCACTCACATGTTGATGCTGTGCTGACAAACCTGCTCTCCGTTGACTGTCAGTGAAGCAGCTCCAGGGACTGACATCACACACAGACACTTGGCTGCAGCCACTCTTGTTTTGTTCAGGGAGAGGATGTACAACAAAGTCTCAAGATGCTCATACTGCTGTGACAGACTGTCTGGATGATTGTTAAGGAGCTGAATTTGGAACCACATGTTGCACAAAGCCCACTTTAAATGAATGCATTGTTCCAAATATCAACATAAAAAGCTATTTTTATTTAAATTAATGGAAAATACACTTTGCAAAGTTATAAAGTCATCACCTGACATTTTGAATTACAGTAATATTGACAGTGCATTCAGTAAGTATTCAGACCCCTTCACTTTTGACACATTTTGCAGATATATGAGTGTTTTTCCTTTTAATACATTTACAAACATTTCTGCAGTCCCATTTTCACTTTGTTATTATGGGTTATTAAATGTAGGAAAAAATGAATTTAAATATTTTTAGCATACAGCTAGGAAACAACATAAGAAAAAAACCAAAAGGGTCTGAATACTATTGAATACTTTTGTTTCTTGTTGCACTTTTATTTTTGTTTATTGCATTTGGGCCAACTCACACCATATCATGCCCAGTTCAGGCCCAACATTTGCTATGAGACGAGGTGAAACAGGCAACTACTTGCAAATTGCCATCGCCATGAGACAGTGTATCATCTCTACCCAACAACTCTCTGTTCTTCCATTCTGATTTCCAGCTTTTCAGGCTTATTTTGTGGCTGAATATAATTTGTAGCTTCGGGGGGAGGGGGGGGGGGGGGCATAAGCACATGCAGCAACCCTCCGTCTGACACTGGCACACCAAAAGGACAGAAACGGAGGGCTTGGTGGGAATAGAGCACCTGCCGCAGCAAACAACCATGCTGTCTGTGGTCATTTTGCCTAGCTGCATGCTACACACAAAACAGGTGATACATTCACCTTCACATTACACCAGCCAATTCACACCACTGCAACTTTTCTCTGCAGCGTTCTAAAATGGTTTTGTCTTGTCATGAATCATTGGTCTGAAATGAGCCCATGGAATCTGTGCCTTCAGATTTTCAACCACATCTCTGCAGATTTTCTGCATATTTAAAAAACAAAAAAGTTTTACCTAAAATGAAATATTGTCTATCACATAACTTGTTTGCCATCACTTGACTATTATGACCATGCCCCAGAAAGTGCACTGGGCCCAGATGCCTTTTTTTGTAGAGGCCAAACAGTGGAATTACAACCTTGGAGCCAGTCATGTGATGCCATTCGGCCCAAAAAGACTTCTCCCTGTAGACTTACATTGGGAAAGAGACATCTGTAAATTTGTGGCCCCTTTTTTTTTGACTGTTACAAGTCCCACGACATGACTGGTTTTGCTAACAGGATTTGATCCATTCCATCTGATAACATTTGGAAAGTCAAGAAGAGCTTGACCAGAGATATCTTTCTCAACTGGCAAAAGTCTCTAGTGTGCCTGCTTTATAGGTCACACAGTGCAGGTTATCTAGGTAATTTCATACAGCGGAAATAGAGCTGTTTTGGCTTCATGGCCCACTGAGCAACTTTTATGGGAATGAAGGGGGTCCCTCCTCCAGTGCTGTATCCAGGTCATTTCTGTACGTGCAGAATTTCAGCAAAATCACATAGTCTATCACATAGTTTGTTTGCTATCACTTGACTGTTATGATGCACAAATTCAGATGGAGAGCATAAAGTGATAAATCCATATCCTGCGTGAACTAAAATGATGAACTTGCAGGCAACAGGTATCATCAGAAAAAATTAAACTCATGTTGAATGTGAAGGAAATGAACAAAAGTAACTGATTTGCCCATTGTGGATAGGATTGCTATTACAAATGGCCCTTGTGCACTACTACTATTGGGTCCATGAATGAAATGACACGCTGTCTTATTTTGGTCTGGTGAGTAAATGTGCTTGAGTTACTGTCTTTTATATCTTTAACTCTGTGCATAGATGCACCACTGTCAGGCTAATATTGCTAGCTAACATTACTAGCTAACATTAGCTAACGTTCGCTAACTTTAGTTAGTGTTTTCCACCTACTATGTCAACTGTTCCCAGAGGTCTGTTGAAAGGCTGGTAAAAATCTGTGTCGACTCCTGGCTAAAAACATGGAAAAGCATTTTGGAGTTGCAGCCAACTCAAAGCATGTTTAACACTTTAAAGTTCACCTTTGACAGTAGCTGACTCCGCTCCTCCAGACTGAAGAAAAACGTTTTTGATCCACATCTGCTGTTGTTGCTCAGTATCTTGTTTTCACTTCTCTCCCTTATGTCCTACTATTTTTAAGGCTTAAAGTGACAGTTGTTTCTTCCCAATTTGATCGATTGAACAGCAAATCGTAGGCATTGTGCAGTACTGGTCGTCTTTGCCTCCAGCAAAACACATTACAAGGATTTTCATTCTGGATCATCACTTACAACTAAAAAAAATCTATTTGTTTCATTTGGGTCTGCTCATTATTGCACACTTGGTTGTCTCACGGGTTGGTTTTGTCACACTGTTTATTACAGCCACACCAGAGGGCGCTGTGACATGATGTTGATATCAAACTTCAGGTCTGACATCCTGCTCATTTTGCACTGCCATTTTGTGGATCACACACAAAACAATGAGGTGAGGAGACATTTCATAATTTTTAGTGGTCAGAGTAATTTTTCATGTTGGTGTTGTTTTTGTATTAACAGCTTGTAGGTTATTAGTCATTTAATAATCAAAAAAAAAAGTCAAAAGTAATAGCTTTCTTTCTTTTGAGTCACCTTTTAGCTAGCAAGCTAAAGCCATGTGGTAGCTAGCGTAACATGTTTGTCAAGAGGTCAGTTGGGGATGGCTGTTTCACTGCTCTGGGGGTTGGTTGTCACCAGAGGTGGAAAGTAACTAATTACATTTACTCACATTACTGTAATTGAGTATTTTTTTTTTGTGTAATTTGTAATTTTTTCAGTAGTTTTTGAAATCTGTAATTTTACTTTTACTTAAGTACATTTTGACTGGAATATTGTACTTTGCTACATTTGAAATCACATCCGTTACTAAGTTAAAAAAAAAAAAAAAAAAAGTTTTCGGCTAAATAGAAACCAAAGGGGTGAATCTTGGAAATCTCGTGTGGAATTGACCCAGAACAAGCAGCTGGTGCCGGTCGGTGAGTTACTGGAGAGAGAGATGGAGGAGGGTGGGAGTGCTTCGGCAGAGGCACAAGCAGTTGCAGCAGTTGAAATGAATGAAGAAACGAACGTCATGGAAATTGAGAACTTCACAGCCTAAAGTATTAACCAGCAAAATAAGTATGGCATATTGACTTTGACTAATATTATATTGATATGATGAACTTATACTGCGAGTCTCACAATGTGACTATTGCACAAGAACACATTGCGATGGTGATGCCCTAATGATATTGTGCAGCCCTAAATTGAATTGAATTCTATGGTTCATCATAGAAAAATAACTAGTTTTTGGATTGGATTTATGACCCCTGGACCACTTTTGCACTGCATAGGAGTGACCCCCATCAAGTTGTTGGAAGTAACTAAATAACTTCTACCTTAAGTACCTTTTAAATGAACTACTTTTTACTTTTGCTTGAGTAGATTTTTAGAAGGGTAGCTTTACTTGTACTTTAGTAGAATTTCATCAAAGTAAAGGTACATTTACTTGAGTAGAATTTTTCAATACTTTTTCCACCTCTGGGTTTAGCAAAAAAGAACAGGGTTTGATTTTACATTCATATGGGGAGTGAATACCAGCCTCCCGGGTAAAGGTCGTTGGTTGTTGGACCCATCCATCACCCCAACCACCCACCTTACTCAGACTTTTGCTCCCTTACTTGGGTTTCCCCCTGACGCCTCTGGGTGCCATTACAGAATAATGGCAATTGGCCGCATATCATGCCAATCTGAGGCTCAGCCACTAGGGGAGCCCTAGGAGGCCAGCAATAATCATGTTCCTCCTAAAAAACAAATATTTACCATTACTAATTAAGACAACAACAACAACAAAATAAAACTCCATTTTTTTGTTACTGTAAAACGTGGCCTATTTGATAACGAAGATCCCTGGGTCCCAGGCATTTCTGTAGGCGGGTCTGCTCACATGTGTTTGAAATGTGCTATGCTATACTGTAAGTATTTGCTCACAAGCCAAACTACCACAGAAGTGTGACGTGATGCTCCACCACAGTGAGAATTTATATCACATCAGCTCAGGGAATTGTGCTAAAATGACACCAGACGGAAATTTTATTATTATTTTATTACACAGCAACAAATTTAAAACATCTGCCAGCATCAGGCGTCACATGGACATTAATCATCATGTTTGCCTTTTATACATCACAGGAAGCTTTTTGTTATCCTCATACAGCTGTGATTTAAAAGAAAAAAAAGAAAAGCCTCTGTGCACGAGACTCTGCACAATCTGTTTAACACATTCACAAGAGATATAGAGTTTCTTCAGGCAGACATGGCAAACAGAATGTCAAGAAGCACAACCAGCAGGAGATGAATTGTGCAGACTTCCCTGCTCTACCTCTGCTGAGACCTGTACCCGTATTTCTCGAATATGCACAACAGTCACAGTCTTGCAGGTGGTGCAGATCTTATATTATGAAGGCTCAACTATCTTACACAT